AAGCAAATATGATAAAATGTTAACATTTGGAAAGTCTGGGTGAAAGGCCTATGCAAGTTTGTTTGTAATGTTAGCAACTGTTCTGTAAGCCTGAATTATTTGAAAACAATAACCAAGAAAGTGGAGATGGTGGAGAATGTGGTCTGAGCTAGTGAGAGGAGGGTGTGGAACCCTGGCTCTGCAATAGGGAGAGGAAGACAGAGATTCAGAGAACTGTGCAGGAGGTTCTGACAAAGGAGGCACTACCTCTTGACAGAAGCTGGAGATACTGGTTCTTTTAAAAATCAGAAACTGTTTCAAATCTGCAAAATAAATCCTATTCTTTTTGCCCAAATAAAATGTGAATCTCCCCTGTTAGGATAAATAGTAGTGTCTGGCCACGTGAGGCTTTGAGTTCACAAATGATAAGAACTCCTCGAGGTGATGGTTAGATTTTGAAAGCACAAATTAGCCAAGCTGTTGTTCCTCTCTCTGGAACACAGCAGATGGAGTCTGAAGTGCATAACTAGTGGAATGGAAAGATGTCATTCTTTGTGTTTATGTCATTTAGTGCAGCCATCCAGACATGTTCCCAGTAGACTGCCCTTTGTACAGATTTAAGATTACAATCACAGGTGTGCATAAATTTAGCCATTCTACAAAATCATGCTCATCTGTATGCAAATTATAATTTGAAAGCAGAAAGCAACCTATCCTTGTTACTAGGAATCTGGCTATGACTAAATGCAATTCTCTCCTTTAGTCCTTCTTGTCTTCATTCTCAGTATTAAAAAAAAAAAGACAGTTAAGCATTTGCTCCAAGGTCACAAATATAGTCCCCAAAGAGCCCTATATTTGAAGCCAGGCATTTTTGATAGTCCACCTCAGCTGCTCTTGCTCATTTCCTAACAGGAAGAAGCATCTGCCTCAGCAGGAGTTGACCTCCCACTGAGCTAAGTTAATAGGCCCAATAATTCTAAAACTAACACCTTTTCCCTTGATGGGATTGGTTCAGATTGGCATTGCAACCCAATTTGGGCCAGGAAAACATAGAGAAGTTATTGGGATCTTCTGGGAAAGTCTTTCCTCAACCTTATGGGAGTCCTGGTCATGCTCCAGCCTGAGATGAGAAATCATGGAGTAGTAGGGTTAAAGGCCAACCCTCCAGGATTCCAAGTGTGACCTACCTCTGGGCAGAATGATGTTGTGCATGGCAGAACATGGCATGTGGGTTCTGGGCAACTGCTTCTCCCTACTTATGTTCTGGATCCTCTCTTTCTTTCTTTCCAAAGACTGCTTCTACAGTTCTTCCTGGACCTTTCTTTTCCCTATCATATTTCCAACATGCTTTGATTCTTTCACATTAAACCCAAACAAACCATACTCTCTCCCAGTTACAGCCCCTTTTCTCTCTTCCCCTTTTCAGAACTTTCTATCTGAACGTTCTCATCTTCCATTCACATTTTAGACCATTCTTATCTGGTTCCTGTATTATCTACTCTCACAAAATTTCTTGTCAAAGTCACTACTGACCTTCAACAATGAGTGTGTTCCTGTTCTCATTTCTCCTGATCTCCCAGACAGGCTTAAATTGCTTTAGCATTCCCTTCTTCTTGGAACACTTTCTATCTTGGCTTCTACGCTGCCCACTCACTTGGTCTTTCCCCTATCTTGCTGGTAATGCTTTTCTATCACCTGCACATTGGCCTCTTCCCCTCCATTGGATTTCTAAATGTTGGACTGACTCAAAGCTTGATCCCGGGCCTTCCACTCTTCTTGGTTTATTCTCTTTCTATCTTCATTCAATGCTCAGTTTGCACAATATTTGTTGAGTGTCTAATATAAAGGAGATACTGTTTTAAGCATTGGAGATCAAGCAAAGGTAAAGTGGACAAAGTCCTGCCTTTATAAAGCATACATTCTCACGGAAGAGAAAACAAACAACAAAGTAACTGTATAATATGACATTGGGTAGTGACAGCACAATGAAGGAAAACAAAGACAGGTAAATGGATAATGAGGATGGTGCTGTTTTAAAAGTGGCCAGTGAGGGCTTTTTGAAGAGGTGACATTTACATCTTAGTATTGAATGAAGATAGAAATAGAATAAACTGAGTAGAGTGCAATGTGAGAAGAGTCAAGGACCTCACCAAGTGGGACTCCACTGACCTGAGTGACAGAAAGAATAACAGAACTATTTGGTATTATTTATTAAAATAAGTAAGACAAGAGAGAAGATGTAGGAGGGAAAAACCAAGCATTCTAGTTTGGATCTATAAAAATAACCTATTACAGGGTTATGTGGATATACTAAGGGGTTATTTAAATACATCCAGTTCCTCTTGTAAATGATTCTGTTTTCAAGTCTCACAGAAATCTTCCCTGACCACTCTGTTTCTGAGAGCATCTGCCACCGCCATTTCTCCATCCAGATAGTCTCTGTCACACTCCTTAGTAGTTTGTTGATTTCATGATAGTTACTATAATCTGTAAGAATAGAACTTGACTAATTTTTGGCCATCTACTTGTCTATTTTGTTCATGCTGCATCCTCTGGCCTAGAATTGTGCCAGTCACAAAGAAGGGGCTAAAATCACTAGTTGTCAAGAGGACAAAGGATAGGTCTGTTGTCTGGGGAAATTGGAACAACTTGGTTCTCCTCTGAGTTGAGCTATGAGAACAGGAAGCCATCTGTGAAATTCATGAGGATCTTAAGCCAGGGAGATTTAGATTTGGCCTTGGGTAACCAATACACCTTGACCTTTATCTCCACTCTTCTAGGAAGATCCCCCACAGTAGCTCTGGAAATGGGCATTAGAAACTGAACCCATTAGGAACTGAACAGCCCACCTTTAACCTTTTTTTGGTGAAGAACATTCTATGAAGGCCTTTGATATTTCCTGATATAAATAAAGCAGGCACAGGCTCCACCTGATTGGCTTGCCCATCCTGCCCCCACCTTCAAAACTACTTTGTGTCCTGTAGGTTTTTTTTGGGTCATTCTATTTTTCTTACCTTTTATTTCTCAGCCAGCCTATTCCATAGAGGGCAACCCCATTTCCACCGCCTGCATGGATGCAGGCAAGATATGAATATTAGCTACATGGCTTTGGACAAATTATTTCCATGATGTTTTCTCAATTTCAAAAGCGCTTAGATGATTTTTAAGGGCTAATTTGTCTACTTCAAAATATATTTAAATCCAGGATTTTTATTTCATCTGACCAAATTTGTACCCAGAACATCATTTTGGTAACAACTATGCTAAAAGGCTTTCTGATGTAGAATGAGTGCGAATTATTGCATGTAGGGAAATTTACCACAGGAATCCTGAAGTTCTCTATATTGCCACGGCTGGCCCCTCTAAGTCCTCATTTTCAGGTGGATATCTGTTCTGCCAACTCCATTCCAGAACCAGGGAGAAACAATTGGAAAGAAAGAAGAGAGGTATTTGTTTTCTGGGACATTTTTGAGCACCTACTTAATACTGCAGTTCCAGTCTTTCCAACTAGGCTTATTTCCCCTGCATTCAAGGGGCATTTAATGACTAAGGCATCTCTTCACAGACTCTGTGAGGCAGAGATTACCCCCATGTCACTGAAGAAAATGAGGTTCAGGGAGATGACTTGATTTTCCCTGGTTCAGATTAGTAGTTCAGTGACAGAAAAAAGTCCAAACTGTATTTGGGTCCTACTCAACTTTCCACTATGCCCTAGATACAAATAGTCAAGGGTAAACCCTTCTAGTTTAAACTAGTTTCCAACAGAGATCAGTAGAGTAGAGGAAAGGGACAAAGAAGGATGGAGGTGGGGAAGGCATGTAGAAGTACTGGGGAACAAATCTACCAAATATGCTATGCCTGTGTACACCACAATGAATCCCATATAAAATTAGAATACACTAATTAAAATTGTAGGAGATCAGGGGATAGAAATGGGGAGGGAAAGGGAAGTACTGGGGAATTAGATTTATCAAATTGTGTTATATGCATGTGCAAATATGGCATAATGAATCTCACATTATGTATAATCACCAATTTTTTAAGAAAAGAAACTCTTATTAGTGTTGAAGAAACTGAGAATTTACATTTCAATGAATCTGGGACATCCTACTGCAAAACTAATTACTATGTAACTACATAGGTAGATGGAAATATGCCACAAGAAATTGTTTGAAGAGGCAGGAAAGATTTCCCAGGGCCTTCCAGAGAAGGAAGAGAGATGCCAGGAGTATCTTTTCCTCACATGATCATTGGAAGATTCTTCACTTCCCAGGTTTTTCTCTTCTTCAGCACCCCCCCCCACCCCACTGAACTGAGGGGCACTTAACCATTGAGCCACACCCTTTTTATTTTGAGATAAGGTCTCACTAAGTTGCTTAGAGCCTCACTAAGTTGCTGAGGCTGGCTTTTAACTTGAGATCCTCCTACCTCCGCCTCCCAAATTACTGGGATTACAGGCGTGGGCCACTGTGCCTGGCTTCCTCAGCAATTCTTGAAGAATTCACTTTCAAAAGAATCCTGTTTTTTCTCAGCGAGGAATTTTCCTCCCAACAAGATGTCCTTGTCATAAACGTGTGTCTCACTGTGATGCGTATGCACACGTATCACCTAAAGCTGTATATGAAGCTATCTATGAATCTCAGCGTTGGGCATGATTCTGAATGAAAAATTGTTTTTGTTTTATCAATAAACCGTTTAGCATTCTCTTAAAGCAGAAAGGAAGGACAAACAAAGCAGATGGGTGTACTTCCTTTCTCTTTCTCATCCAGTCCCAAGCCATCCCTCTCTTACTTTGAATGTAAAAAATGGTCTGGTAACAAGGACTCAGTACTGTAAATAGAGGAGTCATTATTCTTTCCTTCTCTACGAATAAATAAAGAACTAAAACATCGAGGTAAGATCATAAATAGAAAAATAGATAAATAACATTTATTTTGTACAAAGTAGCTGTCAGTGTCCAAGAGCCAAGCAGCTGCTGGTGTCCCCAGATGCCAAAGGCAACCAAGAGAGGGGCCGAGCCCTCAGAGGAGCAGGAGAGAGCCCAGCAGCAGCTCGCCCTGGCCCAGGACGTGGCCCCGCTCCAGGCCGCGGCCTTTTTTCTCCGCCTTGACGCGCACAGTCAAGTGGCGCACTTGGTCTTCCGTGAGCCCATCGAAACAGAAGTCCTGGTCAAAGGCGTCCTTGAGACTCCGGCGGAGCACTGAGCTACGTTGCTTGCGCGTGGAGCCTGTAGGCTGCAGAACTAGGCTGATGCGGCAGCCAAGGGCCCGGGGCTCAGGGGTACCTCCGGCCAGGCCCTCGGCTCCCAGCAGTCGGATGCGGAGGCGGCCGCTGCTGGGACAGTAGTTGGCGGCCAGGCGCAAGGCGCAGCCAGCGCGGCCCAGTGCCACGGTGCCCTCAGCTTCCACGAGCTTAGTCCGTGGGTCCAGGGACAAGGGCGAACACGGTGCGGGGGTGTTGGGCTGAGAGGCGGAGCCGCGCTCCACGTCTCCGTCCGGGTTGGAGGCAGAGCGTGCGCGAGCCAAGCCGCGACTCCTCCGAGCCCGCAGCGCGCGACTTAGCAGCCCGTTAGGGGCGCGCAGGAGGCGGCGACCGCCAGGCCTTGGGGAGAGCGCGTCCCGAGGCGGACAGGGACAGCCAGGTGCCGCGGCGGGAGCTGCGTCCGGGGTTCGCAGGGGCAAACGGGTGACGTCCCCTTCTCGGTTGCCCCCATAGGTGTGCGCTCGGGGTCTGGCAGCTGGCGGCTGCAGGAGCGCGGCGGCACGGGGATCCCCGAGAAAGAGCGACTCCTTGCGGCGCGTGTGCGGGCTCTCCAGTAGCGTGCAGAAGCCGTAGGCGGTGAGCGCGCGGGGCAGGTGAGGCAGCGAGAGCGCGGCCTGTGAGCGCGGGTCCCAGTCGGTGCGACCCGCGCCCTCATTGTCCGCGCGGGGCCACAAGTCCGGTTCCGCGGCGCACCGCCGGGGCAGGGCGCCGGCCGGGGGAGATTCTGGTGGGCACGGCAGGGACAGCCGCGGCGGGATGCAGAACTCGGGGATGCGACCCGGAGTGAGAACGTTAGAGAAGGCGGGCTCTGGAGCTGAGGAACGGAGTTTCCCGAGGAGCCGCATACTCAAAGGCTGGAAGGAGCAGGAAAAAAGTGTTCCTGGGGGAAGAGAGAAACTGCTTGAGTTTGGGTGCCTGGAGCTGCTGGACTCCCGCGGGAGAGGCTAGATCCTTCCCCCACAGCCTCTGAAAGTACCTACAGATTTACCTAGGACCCTGGGTCAGCCCGAGTCTCTCGCACACTCTCAGACCCACCCTGCCCTCCATTCATTGAAACTAAATACACGAACAAATAGAAATCAGACCTTTTCCTCTTCGTAAATCTGTCTGGGTCTGGTTGCAAGCTCAGAGCTGATAACTCCACGGTCGTGGCTGGGGCGCTAGGTCCAACACTACAGCTGGGACAGTGGCACTCCTCTCTTATAGTGTAACTGGAGTCCCGCCCAGTTGCCTGGAGTCCAACCCCTGGAGACACTGGACGGGCAGCCCGCCTTCCCAGTCACCCCTTCCTATGACGATTGGAGTCCTTCATTGGGCGCTGCAGTCTGAGCGACGCTGTCTCGGGGTCAGAAGCCTTCTGGGTAGCCTTGGGACCTCTTTCGCCATAATTGCAGGGAGTGGAATAGACAGTTGGGGTGTAGGAGCTGCAGGTGAAGAGAGGATGCCCTGTTGCTGTGCGGAAGAATTGGCGGCTGGAAATGTTTGTTGCATCTTGGAGAATGTGAAGCAATATGAAAAGAACCATTAGTTTCTAGGCTGGGAGATAAATCCTGTCACCCACTCTGCACCTGACCTACAAGTCCTAGGGATTTCTATTTTCCTGCCCCCTCGCCCTTACTCTGCAAATGAGTGAGTACCCATTTCCAAGTACACATGCTCCTTCACTTAGAATGGGGTTACACCAGGATAAACCCATGGTAAACTGAAGATTTTGATAGGCTGAAAAATGCATTAGCCTAACCTACCTTACACATGTTCCAAATTCTTACATCTTCCTATGGTTGGGCAAAATCATCTGAGGAAAACCCTTTTTTGAAATAAAATGTGAAATAGTTCGTTTAGTTCAAAGTGGAAAACAATGGTCGTATGTGCTTGCTTTTGTAACAGGATGAAGTTAAACATTTATGCCCAGAGTATAAGTCGGAACTATCCCTGTATCTTATTTAGCATCTGTCTCCCTCTGCTGGACTGTGATCTCCTTAGTGGAAAGAATATCTATAAAAATTTCTCAGTAACTTTAGTTGCTGCCTATTTGCCAATGTCTGGCTGGGCACAAATGCCGCAGTCTGGCTGGGCACACAATCACGAGCCACCACACAGCTTGTAGATTCAAACAGCAACTCTTTATTCCCGAACTCACACCAGCCGTCTACAATCACGTTCTGGGGAAATCCACGTTCTCTGCCCAAATCCACCTCCACTGGGCTTCTATCTCCAAAATATACTGTCTGAATCCCGTGAGAACTCAAGGGGAACTCAGGCAGCAGGATACGCCCTATTCCCAGGAGGAATAATCTTAAACCTTAAACCTGGAACCTAAACTGGGAACGCCCTAAACACGATTATCTTAAAACCGGGAACACCCTAATCTGCCTTGGTCCTTGAGCAAGGTCACCTACATTCAATGTCGCTGCAACATGTCAGCAACATGGGGTACGCTGGCAAGGAAATTGTCATCAAAGATATGCCAGCATTACCACAATTCGCTGCACCAAACGATAGTTACATAGTCCAGGCAAGTTCTGCAAGCAGTTCAAAGC